AACAGCAGAGTGGTCCTTTGGTCCTTCTTCGAAGCTCTTGTTCTAGTTGCCATGACATTGGGACAGATCTACTACCTGAAGAGATTTTTTGAAGTCCGGAGGGTTGTTTAAAAGACCTTTTCCTGTTGATCCCAAATTCACAATTCACTTGTTTACCAAACACCTTGGTCATAATAATGTCATTAGTTTATACATTTTTGTTTTTGAATGTTCATGACTTATGTTTCTTTGTGATTAATTGGTGTGGGGGTAACCTGTTTAGGAAAGTTAGAGTGGAAATTTGACATTTGATTGGCCTCTAATTCTTACTTGAATGCTGCCCCGTTATACAAGTCCTTCCAAGAGTTCAGGGGCTATTAATGCTGTTTGGGACTATGGTCTTTATTATGCTTCCTTACGCTTTGGTTTTTATAATAAAACGCAGTTTGTTCCGGAAGCACCCCACAGCCTGACTGCATTCTAGGGAGTTCCTCATCTGTAGTTCATTATCAGGTGTCCATTTTGTTGAGTCAGTACATCAACAATAAACTGAAATTGACCCTTCTGGCCCCAGCTCAGGGCAGAGCGACCTGTGGTGGGGTATATTACCATGTGGGCACTCATACTTTCTTTTGAGTTTGCCTAAACTAAAGACTCATCCCAGCACTTTGCCCCAAACGTTTTATATTGAACCTTGGAATTCAATCACCTCTATTCGAATTGACACAAGCAGCCGAGAACTTAGAAGTCTGTTGGAGCCAGTTTTTTGGGTGTTGGAACAGACTGCTCTCCCTCTGTACCACATCTCTGTTCATGTTGGCACTTAGGAGGAGCGAGTTTGCTCAAGTGGAAGCCTGCATTTCTCATGCCAAAGGGTTAGGCCTCTTGGATTGCTTGCAGTGATAGGCAGCCACTGTTGTCCTTTTAGTCAGTGGCCTTGGGGCCCTGGTTCAGTGTCAGCACTAGGGTTTTGTTTGTTCTCTGGTGTCTTTCTTTTTTGGCACATGTCAGTTTTGTTTATAGAAAATTAAGAGGCTTTCTCTCTGATGATGGGTTTCATGAACGTCGCTCTGCTTTGGGTGTGGGCGATCCAGGATTATGATCTGACTGATGTCTGGTAGCTACCTGCAGATTTTATTTTCCATTTTGGATCTTGCAAGGGGAAAACTACAAGTAATAAGTTTTGTAAAATTTATTTAAATTTGTTATAAGTTTTCATGTTCAGGACAAATAATTTTTCAACCCTGATGACTATCCTTGCAACAGTCTGTTGATAAGGTGACTCTTTCACCGTAGGGCAGCTGTTGCATGCCAATTTTTTTTTGTGCGTGTGTGTGTGAAAACACTTCAGAATTGAATTAAAAGATGTAAATTTAAAATTGGTTGTGTATCTAATATGCCCCAGGTTCAGTAAATAAACAATTCTTTTTAAAAACCGTCAATATCTGGTTTATATTAATGCTGGCTAACTTAAGTTTTTTGATAAATACAAATTTTCTTTTTCTTCAAATGAGATATGCCTATGTTTGTAAACAACTATGTTATGTCATTTTTATTTCTGTAGTGAACAAGAATACCAATTTAAGCCAGGTAATCGTTTTAATCCCAGCACTCTGGAGGATGAGGCATGTGGATCTTTTTGAGATTTGAGGTCACCATGGTCTTGAGATTTGAGGTCACCATGGTCTATCTATGTAGTTCAAGACAGCCCAGGGTACATAGAGAGAGCCTGTCTCAAAAGACAAAACAACCCCACCAAAACATAAAAATAACCATTTTATCTTGTGTGGTTTCTTTGGGTCAATGTTAACTTTTCTGGGTGGAGAAAGTCACATTTTAATTAATTTTACCTTACCACGTAGTTTATGGATGTAGGGAGATAGAGTGGAAGGAGGTAAAGTGAGTTGCCCAAGTCTGTGGAAAAGGGAAGGTGGAGCCAGCTCTCCTGCAGAGATCCTTCCCAGCATGGAGCTGCTAAGAAAGCAGGGAATGGCCAGTCACCAAATACTGCATCCCTTAAAGCCTGGCGTCCCTCCAAACTACATGGTTTGTCCTATAGATGTCTCATAGCCATTACCTTTCGTAGAATTAGTAAATAAACAGACTCGGAAGAGATTTTAAGCTCAGCAAAGTAGTAACTAGAGCGCAAAAAGCAAATAGCCTCGTGATTGCCTGATGCCCTTAACAGACTGCCTGTCCTCAGATTGCCCTCTATGGTAGTTGCAGAAGCTTTTTGAGGATGCGATGAGGTCTTTTTGTTCATTTGTGCCTCAAGTGCGGTATCTATAGGCAACATTTAGTTACGCCCCTACTGTTGGTTTGCTTTGGTGGCTGTGAATCTACTAAATGCACACGCTAAAAGTCCGTGTAGGGGGAAAGTAAACAGGCGTTCTGCTGATCAGATTGAAGGGCGTCGGGAAGACAGCAGCGAAAGCTGACCCCAGGTCCGAAGGTGAGCTAAGTTTAAAGGCTCAGCTGGGAGACTGTCTGGCGCCCTCGCTTGGCCGCGAATTCCTGAGAGTCATGATGCTAGTATGCTCACCGACGGGCCGGGGGAACCCCAGCATCCTTTAGTGGGACAAGTCGGGGCTCCTCCCTGTCACTTCCATCGCCCTACCGCCTCGCCTTCCCGTTCGCTGTGCTCCTCTTCCTAGCTTCTCGGGCACGTCCTCCGGAACGTCGTCGCTGGAGTGCGGTTTTCCGCCCGGCGTTTGACCAGCCGGAAGCGGAAGTGCTTCTGGTGGTACCGTCTCGGTGTTCCGAGCAGTCTTACAGAGGAGGCCAGGGAAAGCGCCATGGAACACGTGACGGAGGGTGCCTGGGAGTCGCTGCAGGTGCCGCTGCATCCTCGGGTGCTGGGCGCACTGCGCGAGTTGGGCTTCCCGCACATGACGCCGGTGCAGGTATCGGGTCCACTGGGAAGCGAGGCCGAGCGGTCAGCCGCTCGAATGCAGCCTCGGGGATCGGGGCAGTGCCACGCGTGTTCACGATACCCACTCCGGGGTCTCAGAGCTTCGTGCCTGTCCTGCCTGCTCTAGCGACTTCGGAGAGTGGCTCCTTCTATGCCCTTTCCGTCTGAGAAATGATGACAGTCACTTTCTTCATAGCATTGTGGGGACTAAATAATCCAGGTGGGCGCCCGGTGACTGTGACCTGTGGTTATTATTGGGGAAACAGAGTCTCCCTTGCTCGATTTATCAAAACAAGCAATCAAGCAAACAACCAAAAGCTCGCCAACCATTTATGAAGGACCTCATTTAGGCTCTGGAGACTTGACAGTCTTGGTACCTACTCGTGGGCCTTATTTTTAGAGGGGGTGTTAGAGGAAGAAGCATAGGAAGAGGTAATTTATTTTGTGCTGAGCGTTATGAAGAAAGGAACTGAGATAGACTCGTGCGGTGAAGTGAGGCTGCAGGCCTCTGAGGGAGTTGTCATTCTGAGACCTGGATAATCAGGGAGGGGAGGGGGTGGCTTCGGGGGAGTGGGGGGAGGGGGGAGAGAGAGAGAGAGAGAGAGAGAGAGAGAGAGAGAGAGAGAGAGAGAGAGAGAGAGACAGAGAGAGAGAGAGAGAGAGAGAGAGAGACAGAGAGACAGAGAGAGAAAACCAGTGCAAATGCCCTGGGGCTGGTGGCAAATCCTATGCTTCCAGGGTTCTCAGTGGTTGACAGCACTTGCTGCTCTTGCAGAGGACCAGGGTTGAGTACCCATCACCCACAGTGGATAGGCTGACCACTGAATATAACTACAGTTCCAGGAGATTCAACACTCTTTTCTTGCCTTTTTGCGTACCTCTATGATTGTAGTCTACATACAGATAAGTAAAAATAAATTTAAAATGTCCAATGCTTCCAGCTCTTTCCTAGTCCAAGAAGGAACAATGCGAGTGTTAGGACTTGAATCCAGGACTCTTGCCACACTTGTCCTTATAGATAACTCACAGTGTTTCTCTTGGTTGCTTGGCTGGTTTTGAGACAGTTCTGCCTGCCCCTCTCTCCTGATTACTGGGATTAGAGGCGTGTGCCACTACACCTGGCTACAACTTGTCCCGTTTAATTCAACCCTTTGTGGTGACTGTTTACTCCGGATCCCCATGGGGCGGGGTTCAGTTTGACCTCAGTCACCCCCGTGTCCCTAGGACTTGGGTCTCTGTTGTTTGGCTGTGGTGTTGTGTAAACAGCTGTTGTCATCTCTCCCTGCAGTCGGCCACCATCCCTCTGTTCATGAAAAACAAAGATGTTGCTGCGGAGGCTGTGAGTATCTCTTCAACAGTCTGTCCCTGGTCCTCCTAGCCACGCGGGAAGCAAGGCAAAACCTTTGTCCCTTTGCAGGTGACAGGTAGTGGGAAAACCCTGGCCTTTGTCATCCCCATTGTGGAGATTCTTCTGAGAAGGGAGGAGAAGTTAAAGAAGAGCCAGGTGAGGAGGGTTGACTGACTGTTCTGGAGGCAGGACGGTTTAGGCCTGAGCTGAATCCTGCTTGGTATCTGAGGAGTCTATTTTGAATTTACCTGCTTGTTAAACCGAAGTCGATGCTGGGTTGCTCTCATGACACTTGGGTACTTTCTCGGTCACCTGTGGGTATGGGTAGAAATGCCATTTTCGCTCTCATACTGTAAGCAGGTATCCTTATGAGCAATCTGTTAGTTGTGTTTGTCTGTTTTAATCCTCTCTTAGCTGAAGACCCAACCTAGGACCTTGTATTTACTAGGCAAGTGCTCTACTATTGAGCTGTATCCATAGCTCCTCATTTTTGTGGCTTTTGTTGTGATTTTGTTGTTTAAAATACCCTCAGTGGGGGCTCAATGGACAAGAGTACTGGTTGCTTTTGCAGAAGACCTGGGTTTGTTTCTCAGGATCTCCCAAGGGTTTTCAATCTCTGTACCTCTAGTTACAATGGATCTGGCGCCCTCTTCTGCCTGGGATGCACAGGATGTGTGTCCATGCTTGCAGGCAGAAACTCATGTGCATAAATACAATCTTAAAAAAAAAAAGCGTTCAATATTGGCTGGACTTAGTATTGGATGCCTTTAATCCCAGCCATGGGAGGCAGAAGCAGGTGACTCTCTGTGAATATGAAGTTTATCTAAGAAATGTGAGGAATAAACAGTCAGAGGAAAATGGAAACAGCTGAGCTAGGGCTACACAGAGAGTATTAATTACCTTCCTGTTGCTGTGATAAATACCATGGACAAGGCGACTTAGAAAAGGGTTTGTCGGGTGGCGGTGCACACCTTTAATCCCAGCACTGAGGCAAAGTCAGGCGGATCTCTGTGAGTTCGAGGTCAGCCTGGTCTATAGGCACCAAAGCTACAGAGAAACCCTGTCTTTGGAGAGTGCCCAGTGCCATCCCTGAGCCCTATGTTGGTTATATTTTTGTTTTGTGGTGCTGGGCTTTGTTTATGGTAGGCAAGTGCCTACCACTGAGCCGCCCTTCACAGCTCTTGATGTGGTGATGTGTGATATGCCCTGGGACTGCTGAAAAATCCTAGGAATTGTCTGAGGATACACGGTGCAGCACTAATGCGATCCCACCCGGAACCTATGTACTGCTGACCCTGTGATTCCCCTCCGTGCGGGCAGGTCGGAGCCATCATCATTACTCCCACTCGGGAGCTGGCCATTCAGATTGACGAGGTCCTTTCGCACTTCACAAAGCACTTCCCACAGTTCAGGTGATTGGGTGCAGGGTCCTCGAGATGGCACTTGAGGAGATGGGTGTGGAGAATCCCTATTGGCCTGGGTTGTTATTTTGCCTGACTTTGCTCCAAGTCCCATTTCTTGCTTCAGTCAGATCTTGTGGATCGGAGGCCGGAACCCTGGAGAAGATGTGGAGAGGTTCAAGCAGCATGGGTGAGCCTGCAAGTTCCTGCTCCTGCCTCTGTGCTCTTGGCTCCTAGGAAGTACCTTGGGGTCCTCCAGAGGGTGTTTCCTCCCTGCCCACCTCCTGGTTCCCTTGTGAACACTTCATAGTCTCCGGTTGTCCTGGGAGTCGGGGCAGGTTATGTAAACAACCTGGGTGTGAAGGCCTGGTGCCCCTAGTATTCACCTGTTGCTGAGCATTGCCTGGCAAGGCTTGTTCCTTGCTGCCAGCTTGTGAAGACTGTAGAGGGTGGAATTCCAAACGTGTGTGTCTCAGATTTTTTTTTAGCAGTTGCTTATAGTCTACATTGTGTGAAAACATAAGCAGCTGGTTTGCATGGTCACCTCTCAGCCTCTTGGTCTAACTCTCTCCCCTCCCCTTCCTTCCCTTTCTTTTTTATTCTCCCCTCCCCTTCCTTCCCCTTCTTTTTTCTTCCTTCCCCTCTCCCTTTCTCTCTTTTCTCCCCTCTTCCCTCTGTCTCTCCCTCGCTCTCTTTCCCAGTTTGTTTTTGCTGGGATTGAACTGCGGGGTCTCATGCATACCAGACAAATATTTTGCCATGAGTCACCCTTACCCCATCTGTCTCCCTCCTATAGTTGTGTTTTCTGTTGCTTCAGGTCAGAGGTCGGCCTGAGTTGTGTGGGCCATGTGGTGTCGTGTTGCAGTTTCTCTGCTGCAATAGAGATGGCAGAGATAGTCTACAGTAGGGGTAGAGTGTGGCTGTGTGCCAGCAACATGCTTGCTAACATAGGTAGCCAGTGTGGCCAGTGGGCTGGACCTTGCCCATCCTGCCCGAATCCTTGCCTATAACCAGATCCTCCTCTCTCCCAGCCCTTATGTCTACCGTGCAGCCATCATTCTCCCTGGCATGGAGATGGCCTTGCAGGGTGGGGACTTGGTATCTCGGTAACTGTTCCTGAGATCCAGAGCACACGCTAAATGGGAGCTTTCTTTCCAAAGTGGGAACATCATTGTGGCAACCCCAGGCCGCCTGGAGGACATGTTCCGGAGGAAGGCTGAGGGTCTGGACCTGGCCAGCTGTGTGAGAAGCTTGGATGTCCTGGTGCTGGATGAGGCAGACAGACTTCTTGACATGGGCTTTGAAGCAAGGTACTAGAATGGGGGCTTCCTGGAGGGGGTGAAGCTGGTAGGAGGTGCAGTGGGACTTTTGTCAAACCTCAGGTGGCTCGACCCTCTGCTTCTATCACAGGGTTTAGTCCCAGTTCTTTTATTTTTAAAAGATTAGTCTGTGTATTGTGCTAATCCCAGCACTTGGGAGGCAGAGGCAGGTGGATCTCTGTGAGTTCCACCTGGTCTACAAGAGACCAGCCTGGTCTACAGAGCTAGTTCCAGGACAGGCTCCAAAGCCACAGAGAAACCCTGTCTCGAAAAACCGAAAAAAAAAAAAAAAACCAAAAACAAAAAAACAAGTTTCACTCTGTATCCCAGAGTGGCTTTGAATTCGGGATCTTTTGAGTCCTGCATGTCAGCAGCACAGACACAGGCCACTATGCTGGCTAGTTTCAGTTTTTCTGTTTTTGTTCATGGTTTCTCTAATATGATAGCAGGTTTTAGGATACGATTCATGTATGTAGCTTGTCATGTAGTCCATGCCAATTACTGTACACTTGTATTGGAGAGACCTTGATGATGTAAAGGAGGAACAGAAATTATAATGCTTTTATCTCTCAACGGTGTGGCCTGTGTGCGCATGATATCCCTACTTTTCTTTCTTTCTTTTTTCTTTTTTCTTTTTTTTTTTTTTTTTGTTTGTTTTGCTTTGTTTTGTTTTGGTTTAGTTTTTTCAGACAGGGATTTTCTATGTAGCTTTGGCTATCCTAGAACTTGCTCTGTAGACCACATTGGCCACTGTGCCCAGCTGCCATCTGGACTTTTAATATTTGATTCATTTTGTGCAGGATCTTACTGTGAAGCCCAGGCTATTCTAGAACTTAGCTCTGAAGCCCAGGTTGGCCTTGGACTTGTCAGTCCTTTAGCCTCTGCCTCTTAGTCTGTGCCCAGCTCCTCTGCTTTAATTTGTGTGTGTGTGTGTGTGTGTGTGTATTGTTTCCAGCATAAACACCATCCTGGAGTTCTTGCCAAAGCAGAGGAGAACAGGCCTTTTCTCAGCCACGCAGACACAGGAAGTGGAGAACTTGGTGCGAGCGGGCCTCCGGAACCCTGTCCGAATCTCCGTGAAGGAGAAAGGCGTGGCAGCCAGCAGTACCCAAAAGACCCCATCCCGCCTAGAGAACCATTACATGGTAAGTGTGGGTCCTGCGGCTTTGTCCTGTGCCTCCACTATCCACAGAGATGGGGCTGGCTTGAGACCAGAGGGTTGCATTGTGTGGACTATGAGCTCTTGTCAGACGGCAGCTGCCTGAGGGATGTTGGCATTTAGGGCTAGCCTTTCCTTAACCTGGGCTGGGGAAGGGAGGAGGCTCATCTTCCCACGAGTGGCAGGGCTTACTACTCGGTACAGAGCAGGAGCCAGGACTCGGAGGGGGTCTCAGCTTCGTCCTTCATAGACCCATGACATAGGGCCATTGGATAGTGAATCAACCCCCACAGCTGCTCAGGATGGGAAGAGTCAGGAAACACTGAGGACACACAGTGGCCACCCTCTCGGTCGTTTAGATGACGGTTAGACGTGTCTTAGCACAACAACTTTTTGTCTGTTCATGCTTCTCTGTGCAACTGCCCTGGCTGTTCTGGAGCTTACTCTGTAGACAGGCTGGCATGTGCCAGCACTTCCCAGCTAAGAGTTTTTGTTTGTTTGTTTGTTTGTTTTTTAAGATAAGGTTTTTCTCTCTCTGACAGTCCTGGCTGTCCTGGAACTTGCTCTGTAGACCAGGTTGTCCTCAACTCAGAGAAATCCGCTGCCTCCCAAATGCTGGGATTAAAGGCCTGTGCCTCACTGTGTATTTGAGAATGGCCTTGAACTCCTTATCCTCTGTCTCCCTGGCAGTACAGACCTGAATTACTGTGCTCCATGAGACCAGTTTGTAACCTGCAGTGTTAGTTTTACAAAATCCAGGAAAACTCATTCACTGGGACTGAATGTTTCTGGTTGGGGCCTGGATTGAACACTTGACTGGGAAAGGGGTGGAGCCTATCTCCGTGGCAGTGCTTCAGGTCGTCCGTACACTCATTTCCTGAGGCTGTGCTTGTCTTACTGTGGCAGCTTTGGAACAACGTGGCCTTAGATTCAAGCTTGGAGGTAACGCGTGTTCTTTGTTTCACTTGGACCCACTGCTGCCTGGGCTAGGGAGCTGGTACCGCAGCTGGCCCAGGCCTGGCTGTCTGCTGGGTCCTGGGAACAGTTGCCTGATGTGGCAGTGCTTTCCAGTCACAGTTTTATGACATAAAGTGAACACTGGCAGCAGCACGCGATCAAGCTTCTCTGAGTTGGGCAGGCTGGGATGTCTGTCTTGTTCTCTCTGAGCTGGGCAGGCTGACTTTGGCTCAGTGGAGGAAGGCACTGATTTCAATATGGGTACAACATGGCAGATGGAGAGCCGATTCCTGCCAGCTACGCTCAACCTCTGTGCGTGTGCCTCTCCAAATAAGTCAGCATATTAAAATGAATAAGTGAAGGCTGTGCTGGGTGTGGTGGTGCATACATTATTGTAATCCTAGTCCTCAGGAGGTGAAGGCAAGAGAAGCAGGAGTTCAAGGCCAACCTTTGCTACAAGAATTTGAGGTCACTTTGGGCTATGTGAGACCTTGTCCCCCTAAAAAATAGAGAGGAAGAAAGAAAAGGCTGAAACTGAAATCAGTTATGGGATTAATTTTGCAAATATGTGACTTTCCCCCTCCTTGTAGATATGTAAGGCAGATGAGAAATTCAATCAGCTGGTCCATTTCCTTCGGAACCATCAGCAGGAGAAGCACCTGGTCTTCTTCAGGTAGGCTCCAGGTCAGGTTTGGGATGGCGGGGAGCACAGGGGGCTCTCAGGCTGTGTGCACCTGGTGACTAGAGCCCAGCTTCTGTGGCTCCCGCTGCGGTGATGTCCAGAAGCAGCAGCTCAGCGGGGTCAAGGCTGATGTTCCCACACCTGCCTCAACCTTGCCTTTCTTTCATCCTTTTGGTTTTTAAAGACAGGTTTTCTGTGAAACAGTCCGAACTGTCCTGAAACTCACTTTGTAGACCAGGCTAGCCTTGAATTCAGAGATCCGCCTGCCTCTGCCTCCTGAGTTCAGGACCTTTCTTTTATCTTGAGAGTCATCTTGTGGTTTCCAGATGACCACTGTACGTGTGGTCTTGTCACGTCTTCACCGAGGCAGAGAGCAGGGGGAAGAAGGCAGTGCTCCTGCCTCCACCCTTTTCATTTAGACTGACCTGAATGCTGCTCTGAGAAGCAGGGTCAGAGAGATGGGTGGAGCAGCTTGCTCAGCCACAGAGTGTCCTGTTACCTCGAGGAAGATAGGAACAGGTGCCTGCTTGGGTGGGTTTGGGTTGTTTTTGTTTGTTTGTTTTATTTTAGTCAGGGATTCACTGGCTAGCCTGGAACTAGGCTTACAGACCAGACTGATCTCAAACTCAGAGATCCACTTCTTTCTGCCCCTCCAGTGCTGGGATAAAAGGTATATGCCAACATGTTCAGTATGGCTTCTCTTTTTCCTCTCTAACCTGTTTTGACTTTTGTACAATGAAATGCATCAGACTGGTCCCAGGCTTGGTCTCTGCTATAGCCCCAGTACTTGGGAGGCCAAGCATAAAGACAGGAAATTAAATCCCATCTGGTCCTGATGACAGCACGGGGGAAGTAGATCCTGCTTACTGGGCCATTGCTAGACAGCAGGACCCATGTCAGGGTTTGCACTGGCGTTTGAGGGGTTGGATGGATGGTGGCGAGAAGTGAGGGGCTCCTTCGGCAGGTCTGTACCCACTGTCCCTCTCTGCATCCTTCCCCAGTCCCTGGACCCCAGTGGCCGGTGACTGAGTGCTTTCCCTTCTGACAGCACGTGCGCGTGTGTGGAGTACTACGGGAAGGCCCTGGAGGCGCTGCTCAAGAGAGCCAAGATCCTGTGCATCCACGGGAAGATGAAGTACAAGCGCAATAAGATCTTCATGGAGTTCCGCAAGCTGCAGAGGTCAGTGGGAACCGGTGTCCTCGGTGGTGGCAGGGCAGGGCAGGGCAGGGCAGGTCACCAGTCACCGGATTCCTCAGGTCCTGCACTTGCCCCTTCTCCCTCTGCCCTCCTGGAGTCTTTTTGGTTTCTACTCAGTTATTACATCTTTGAAGGCACCCAAAGCCTGCTTTGGACCCTCACCCCATACAATAAGGTGGGGTCACCAAGTTTTTACTAGATTTCTCCACTCCATCTCAGGCCTGTGTGTTCACTGCTGTGTCTCCCAGGGCTTGGCACAGTGGAGGTTTGAGGACCTATTTGCCCCTGGGTAAATAAGAGCAAACACAGTCCCTTGGTCTTTTTGGGACAGATCCTGCTATGGGCTATAGAGTGCTGGCTAGACAGAGAAGACTTGGGGTGTCTTGATGAGCACAGCTCTTCCTGTTTTTCCTAAGCATTGTATGGCTCCATTCAAGCAGCAACAAGAACACAGCGGCACCCTGCTGTTGTCCTAGTCACAGGGTAAAGATGTCACTTGTTTTCTAGTGGCTGCTGAGGGCTGGCCCTCTACAATTTTATTTCTCAAGTAGAAATTCATGAATTAAGAAAATTTAAACCAGAGGTTAGAGTGTTGGTTCAGTGGTTAAGAACATTGGCTGTTCTTCCAAAGGACCCAGATTCAATTCCCAGCACCCACATGGGCAGCTCACAACTATCTGTAACTCCAGGATCTGACACCGTCACACAGACATACATGCAGGCAAATAAAAATTTTAAAAAATTAAGCCAGCTGTGGCAGTACATGTTTGTAACCCCAGTGTGTGGGAGATTGAAACAGGAATGAAATTCAAGGCTACCCTGTACTACAGAGGGATGGACCAGAGGACCTCGTCTCAAAAGGGAAATAGGGTCCGGGTGAGGCTCAGTGGTTGGCAGTGCACCTGTTAGCACGCAGAGGCCCTGGCTCCACCCTAGTACTGGCTAGAAAGAATCTTTATGCTGTCTCTCCCACTCCTCGTGTGTGTGTGTGTGTGTCCATGACATTTTATTATTGATTTTGCGTGATGTGTGTAGATTTATGCATGTGAATCCAGGTGTCCCTGGATCCCAGAAGAGAACATCAGATCCCCCAGAACTGGAGTTAACAGTGCCTGTCATGGGTGCTGAGCCATCTCTGCAGCCTCCTCTACTCCCCACTTTTGTTGGCAGTTTATAAAGTCTGGGAAGATTGTAGGAGGAAGAAAAAAGAAATCAAAGTATTCTATTAAAGAAAGTAGCTGTTTGTGTGAGAGACTCCAGAGCCCTGCACTGCTGTCGCTGGGGTTGGAACACATGATGGCTAGGGGATGGCCAGGCTCATGTGCTGCTCTCTCATTGCTAGTGGGATCCTGGTGTGCACGGATGTGATGGCCCGGGGAATTGATATTCCTGAAGTTAACTGGGTTTTACAGTACGACCCTCCCAGCAATGCCAGGTATGTGAGGTATTGTTCCTCTGTCTGGGGACTGAGTTGAGGGGGACAGGAACCTGGATGGGTGAATGTGCAGTGAAATTTTAAACATCTTAATTTTTTTTTTGAGACAAGAGTCTCTTGTAGCCAGAGATGGTCTTGAACTTCTGATCGTCCTGCCGTCACCTTTTGAGTGTTGGGGTTACAGGCATGTACTACCATATCTGGCTTAGTTTTGTTTTTGTTTTTCGAGACAGGGTTTCTCTGTGGTTTTGGAGCCTGTCCTGGAACTAGCTCTTGTAGATCAGGCTGGCCTCTAACTCACAGAGATCCTCCTGCCTCTGCTTCCCGAGTGCTAGGATTAAAGGCGTGCGCCACCACCGCCCCGGCTTCTGGCTTAGTTTTGAAATCAAATACTCTACCAGCTGGGTGATAGTCCAGCTCCTGAAACATTCAATTCCAGAAGTAGGCAAGTGGCCAAATATCTTTGGTGTGTTCTAGCAATCACGTTCAGACAGTCAGGTGTTGTGACTCCTGCTTATAATAGTGGTATTTAGGGGGCTAAGGATGGAAGTCGAGAGTTTATCAGCGTGAGCTGCCGAGTTGAGATGCTGTCTGTAAAGTGGTGTGTGTGTAGAGAATAAATAAAAATGAAAGTGCAAATTACAGAGTATTGAAAAGAGCACCAGGCTACTCTAAACTGTGTCTCTCCGAGAGCGCGGACACTCCCCACACACTTATCTCTTGTTTAGTTTTTGCTTTTTCCCTTTATTTATTTATTTATTTATTTATTTATTTATTTATTTAAGATTTCTGCCTCCTCCCCGCCACTGCCTCCCATTTCCCTCCCCCTCCCCC